CGATGCGGGATTTCTCCAGCAGGTCTGTGGGGAGGGGGCAGTGTCACCGGCACCGTGTGAGGTGGGGACCCCCCCCGCCCCCCCAGAAATGGGGAATCAGTACTCACAGTTGCTGATGACCCCTCCCAGAGGCTCCCCCTTGAAGTCGAACTCCACGTCCATGTACTTGCCCTGGGGACCGGGCTGGGGTCAGGGCAGGGGGACGCCACGGGGGGAGGTCCCACCTCCTCAGCCCCATCCCCTGCCGTCCCCCACCCCCATCAGGGTCCGGCCATGTGGGTCCTGGCCCCACTGCCCCAATTTCCCAGTCACTCACGAATCGGGAGGAGTTGTCGTTGCGGATGGTCTTGGCGTTTCCAAAGGCTGCGGGGGGAGGACGGGGTTACAGCGTGGGTTTGGGGGGGGGGCTGTGCCGACCCCTGGGATGGGGGCAGGGTGCCAGGTGCTGGTCACTCACCCTCCAGCACGGGGTTGGACTGCAGGAGCTGCTCTTTCACCTTGTCCACCTCCTCCCCTTTGCTGCAGACCGCCGCCACGTAGGACATCACCAGTTTGCTGGCCTCTGCGGGCGAGGGGTGGTGGGTGCCATGGCCGTGGCCACCCACCCCACGACCCCCTCGCAGCCCCCAGTGGTAGCCCCAGCTCTACCCGTCTTGCCGGCCCCGCTCTCCCCAGTGATGAGGATGCACTGGTCCCTGTCCCGGTCCCGCAGCGAGCGGTAGGCATCGTCAGCGATGGCGTAGCTGGGGGTGAGGAGGGGTCAGAAGGGGCAGTCTGGGGGCTTCAGGAAACACCAAAAGCCCTCCCCACGTTGTGGCTGTCAGGCCGCCCTGAGTGGACTCCCCCAAAACCCCGAAACCTCGGGTCGGCCCGTGCCTGAAGCCCCTCGGCAGGGTCCAGGGGGGCTCCCCGTGCTCACATGTGGGGCTTCACGGCGAAGAAGTTGCAGTTGCGGTACTCCTGCACCGTCTCGGGGGTGTAGATGGGCAGCGAGCGGTAGGGATTCACCGAAATCACCACGTTCCCGATGTACGTCTGTGGGGCGAGCAGGACGGTGTGGGTGCGGGGCTGCGGGGAGCCTGGTGGTCCCTGCTCCTGTCCCCCCTAGGTCCCCACACCCCACACCCTGGCCCTCTTCTCCCCTCCTCCCACCCCAAAAGCCCTGCCCCGGTGCCCACGTAGATGTTGCTGCGGCGGAAGCGTTCCTGCAGCGTCTGGAGCAGCGACTCCTCCGTCAGCGGGTCCAGCAGCACCAGGTCCCCGACCGCTGCGGCGTCCAGCAGCGAGGTGGTGGCTTCCATGGCCGGGTGGCTCCGGGGTGGCTGGGGCAGAGCAGAGAAGGGGGGGCTGCAACCCATGGACACGCAGCCCCTTCCCCAAAACATCCCCTCACCAAGTCCTCAGCACCCCCTGCACCCCAGAGACCGTGGCTGCCCCCTGCCCTTAGAGGTTCAGAAGTCCCTGGGGAGAGCAGGATGCTGGGCACTTGGGGGGCACAGACCCACTGGGTAAGGCTTGAAGAACCAGCAGAGCCTGGTGGGGAAGGGCAGGATGTGACCCTCGGCCAGTGGGATGTAGCTGGGACTTCAGCTGGTCCCTGACCCTGCGGTGCCCGGCTCCCCCGGGGACAGGGGACAAGGCAGTGACACATCAGCACAGAGGGCTCCTTCCTGGGACACCCCTGGCACCCAGGACCCCCGTGGTGGGGATGGAGGCTCGGGAAGGGGGGGAGAAGAGGGGGCAGGATGCCTCCTGCCCACCCGCTGTGGGGGGAAGCGGGGGCCCGGCCAGGAAACGTGGCCACCTGGATCCTATTCTTGGGGCACGGACTAATTCAGCCTCCGCTTCCTCCCTCCTTCCTGGCAGGGGGAGGCTGGGGAGGGGGGAAGGACAGGCTCGGGATGGGGGAGCCCAAGTCCCCCTTGGGACTGTTTAGTGTGAGGAAGAGGAGGCTGAGGGGAGACCTCATCACTCTACAACTCCTTGAAAGGACACTGTAGAGAGGTTGGGGCTGGTCTCTTCTCCCAGGTCATTACAGAATCACAGAATCTTAGTGGTTGGAAGGGACCTCTGAGATCATCGAGTCCAACCACAAAAAAAAATAATAAAAAAACAAAAACAAAACCAAAAAAACCCCAGACAAACAAATACAAAACACACCACACCAAACGCCCACCAAAAACACCGCACCCACCAACTAAACCCCACACTCAACACCTCACCATAACCCAATAACCTTGGGCACTAGAGCAGGCCCTGAAGAGCCATGTCTACACGTTTCTTAAATCCCTCCAGGGATGGTGACTCCACCACCTCCCTGGGCAGGCTGGTCCAGGGCCTGACCACTCTCTCAGTAAAGTAGTTCTTTCTAATATCTAATTTAAATCTCCCCTGCCCCGACTTCAGACCATTTCCTCTGGTCTTGTCGTTCGTCCTTTGGGACGAAGTGACAGAAGGAGAGGGAACGGCTTCAAGCTCCAACAGGGGAGGTTTAGATTGAACATTAGGAAGGAATTTTTCACCCAAAGAGTGGTCGGGCGTTGGAAGAGGCTGCCCAGGGAGGGGGTGGAGTCCCTGGCTGTGTTGAAGGGCCGTTTAGATGCAGTGCTGAGGGACATGGTGTAGGGGAGGACTTTGTAGAGTAGGGGAGATGGTTGGACTCCATGATCCCAAGGGTCTCTTCCAACCTGGACCATTCTATGACTCTATTCCATGACAGCACCCAAGAGACCGTGCTGTGTCGTCCCCCCCCCACGCTCCACCCATCCCTCACCCTCGGAGCAGCTGCGTTCCCCGGGGTGACCTTCACCCCCACTTTTACAGCCCGGGCTCAGGGCTGTTAAACCCAGCCCCACTTATCGGTGCCCGGGGAAAAGTTCACGAGTGAGGAGGGAGGTGGGAAACGATGGGCCCACGGGGTGATGGAGACGGCTCCATCGGGGACTCCCCTCACCTCCTCCGGAGGGGATGGCAGAGCCTCCCGAGCATCCCTGCAGCCTCCCCCCTTCGTGGGGCACCGGCACTGAGACCCCGGTGGGGGACCCCAGGGTGACACCCACGGGTGGGACCCACAGCAAGACCCCCCCCCGCAGCTCCAGGGCTCGCCCCAGTCCTCCCCAAAGCACCAGGTCTCAGAGCTCTCCGGGCCCTATAGGGTGGGGGTCCCCCAGAATAGGGGTGTCCCCGGGTGGGGGCTATAGGAACAGGGTGCCCCTGCCAGTTTCGGGGTGCGGGGGGGCTGGGGGTGCAGAGGGGTCCGCAACTCACCTCCCGGTGGCAGAGCAGCAGCAGGTCCTGGAGTGGCTTCAGCTGAGGCTGCCCCGGAGCCGTCGGGGCTCAGCTGGTCCCGGTCCGGCCCACGGAGGGGCGGGGGGGGGGGGGGGAACCTCCCCCAGGGCACCGCGCCCGTTCACGGGCAGGGAAACTGAGGCACGAAACGCATCAACCTGGGGGGGGGGACCCAACCCCTGAGCCCCCCAGCCCGTGCCCCTCGGGGGGTCCCAGCCCCATCTGGGCTCCTTCTACCCCGGTCGTCCCCCCCCCGGAGCAGGAAGAAGCAGAAAAAATCCCTGGAAGCAAACAAAGGGAGCTTCCTCCCGGGGCTGCGGGAAAACGGGGCAAGGTACAGGCACCGGGAGCGGCCGGGGCTGGTCCCGGGGACACCGTCCCACTCCACGGGGACCCACGGCCACGGTCAGGGACCCACGGCCACGGCCAGGGACCCACGGCCACCCCCAGCCCTGCTTTTCTCCGGTGCTGCCCCAGGGAACCCAGCCCCCGGGGGCCTGAACCATGCAGCATCCTCAGCAGAGCCAAGGAGAAGGCCCAGGGTCCCCGCAGGACAGAGAAACGAAGCTCATTAGCTACAAAATACATCTTTATTAAAAATATAACCTGTCCTTAAACCACAGGGAGGGGAGGGGAGGCTGTAACAGAGGCTGCTCCCAGGAAGAGCAGAGAGGGATGTGTAGGGAGGGCAGGGAACCAAAGCTGGGAGAGAAACAAACCAACAGCAAAAGCTTTGGCAGCGGCGAGGTAGGGGCTGGGAGAGCAGCCATGGGGCAGCAGAGGGGCTGTGGGGCAGGAGAGGGGCTGTGGGGCAGGGTTATTGCTCAGCAAGTTGCATAGATTTGGGGCATCCCCTCCAGCTTTGTGCTGATCCGGGGAGCAGGGCCACGGCCATCACCATCCCCTGCCCATGGGGATAGACCCCACACAACAGCACGTTGAGGGTGGAGGGCACCAGCTTGAGGGGACAGGGAGCTGCCAGCACCAACCTCCAGCGAGGAGGAAGCACATCCCCACTCATCCTCAGCCCAGGGAGCACAGGGAGGAGGCTGAGGGTGCAGGGCAGCGGGCAGACGTCCAGGCTGCTTTCTCCTGAGCTCTGTGACATTCCTACACAGGGTCTGGCCAAGCCATGTCTCTCTTGGGGGGTGGGTTTGGTACCCCCAGGGGATTTATGCCGAGGCAGAGGCACCGCCCAAGCAGCTGGAGCTCTCTGGCATCTTTGGTAACAGCAGGAGGAGGAGGAGGAGGAGCAGGTCACCCGCTCCCTCCCCAGCAGCAGATGCTGAGCACGCAGGTACCGCTGGGGCAGGTCCAAAGTTCCTCTGGTGCACATCACCCCCACGGGCACCTGCACCCAGGAGAGACCTTTCGCTCCCTCCCCACCCCAGCAGCTGAGGAAAGGGACTCCTGTTTGGTGGCCACAGCAGCAGCGCTGAGGGAGGGGGATCACAGGAGCCAGAGCAGCTCCCAGACCCTGGAAAGAGGCCCCTGCCCCAAAAATTCAGGCATTGGGAGCTCACAAACATCCACGGTAAAACCCCAGTTCACATTCAGAAGGGAGCAGTGTCCTGCATCTCAGCAGCAGCAGGGCTGCCCTGCGGTCCCTGCGTCCCCCGTCACCACCCAGGGCTGCACTGACAAAAGCTTTCACACCTCGGCCTGGCAGGAGCTGCCTGGGGAAAATGGGGGTGTCACAGCCCCCCCTTGTCTTCCCCCAGGCTCTGTGCAGAGCTCCCGACAGCCCAGCTCGGGGTGGGAAGGGGGGTGCTGGCAGCAGATGCTTCCCCCCAACCCCCTGGCAAACGGGGCTTCGTGCTCTGCTGGTGTCAGGGGAGACGCAGCGGCCATTCTGCCCCTCAATCAGCATCCAGGTGGTTGTGGGGCAGGGAGTAACTAGTGTGATTCCTCTCAAAGGAGCCATCATCTTCCTCTTCCTCCTCCTCCTCGTCCTCGAAGAGCTGGTCCTCAAGGAAGAGGCCGCCCAGGCCGTACTCCCGCTCGTGGACAGAGACCTCGTTGGGGGTGAGGTGACAGGCGCCACCCACAAAGTCAGCAAACCTGGAAAAAAGGCACAAAACAGCACGTTGTGCAGCCCTGGCGTCCCCCTGCAAGGCCCGGGCACCCGAGCAGCCGGGGTGAAGAGTTTCAGTGCCAGGATCAGGCATTATCTGTCCTTCCCCTGGGGCACGCCCTGTTTCTATGCACCACGGACCTTCTGTCCCTCCGTGTCCCTATCTCTAAAGGCAGAAGCGACAGCACAGAGCAGCCTGGGGCTTTTAGAAGCACATTGATACACAAGTCGGCCTCTCTGAGCCACACTGTCAGGGGATGTTACCTCTTGGGAGACTGGATGCGGGACACCGCAGTCCAGGCGGAGAAATCGGGGCTTCTGCAGTAGTTTCGAAGCTCCTCGAGGGCCTTGCGTGTCTCCACCTCGCCCTGGACCCGATATTCCTCCTCTGTCAGCAGGCGAGGGGGGCTGGGCCCACGTTTGGTGCTCCTCATCCTCCTGCCAGCACAGCAGCACCAGTTACTGCCCGTCCAACCAGGGGCAGGACCCCCAGATCCCCAGGCTGCGGCGGGAGGAGTGGAGCGTGTCCCTCCGGCCTCTGCTCCTCGCCCCCGAGGGAGGGTCCCAGCCTCCAGGAGGAGCTGGACACTCTCCTGCACCAGCCCCAGGAAAAAAGGGGGACACACACAGAATCCCAGAATCTTCTAGGTTGGAAGGGACCTTCAAGATCATCTTGTCCAACCGTCAACCTGACTGACAAAAATAGACACCCCCACAACAAACAAGGAGCATCATCACTAAACCAGACCTCCCAGCACCACATCAACCCGGCTTTTGAACACCTCCAGGGATGGGGCCTCAACCCCCTCCCTGGGCAGCCCATTCCAAGGGCTGAGAACCCTTTCAGGGAAAAAATTGTTCCTAATATCCAGCCTGAACCTCCCCTGGCGCAACTTGAGGCCATTTCCTCTCGTCCTGTCGCCTGGGACTTGAGAAAAGAGACCGACCCCCATCTCTCTACCCCCTCCTTTCAGGGAGTTGGAGAGAGCAATAAGGTCTTTATACCTTACACCCCTTTATACCTCCCCCCATCCCAAAATCCCAGCGAAAACACCTTGGTTACGTGACACAGACCCCCATCCAGCAGCTCACCCCGGCCTGACAGTGGATTGGGAAGAAGCTGTGGTGCTCCAGGCCCTCACCTGTAGGCAGCGAAGGCCCACTGCACAGGGTAGTCCAAGTTCTTGGTGCAGATGGCAACGACCACCAAAGCCAAGGCGATGGGATGGATCTGGATGCCAGAGTACATCAGCAAGAGGCCCAGGAGCTGCAGGCTCCAGGAGAGGAGGCTGATGCTGCGCTCGTTCTCCAGCGGGCCGTAGCGGTAACACACGGCGAAGCTGACGAAGCCGACGAGCAGCAGGTACCCTGAGAGAGAGCAGAGGGATCTGGCTGAGTTAAATAAAGTTAAATCCCACCCTGGAGGCAGGGGGGTTGGAACTTGATGATCTTTGAGGTCCCTTCCAACCCAAACCATTCTACGATTCTAGGATTCATTTTCATAGAATCATAGAATGGTCCAGGTTGGAAGAGACCCTTGGGATCATCGAGTCCAACCATCTCCCCTACTCTACAAAGTCCTCCCCTACACCATATCCCCCAACCCCACATCTAAATGACTCTTGAACACCTCCAGGGATGGTGACAAAACCCCCTCCCTGGGCAGCCTCTTCCAGTCTCTGACCACTCTTTCCATGAAGAATTGTTTCCAAAAGTCCAGCCTAAACCTGCCCTGTTGGAGCTTGAAGCCGTTCCCTCTCCTTCTGTCACTAATGACCTGGGAGAAGAGACCAGCACCAACCTCTCTACAGTGTCCTTTCAAGGAGTTGTAGAGAGTGATGAGGTCTCCCCTCAGCCTCCTCTTCCTCACACTAAACAGTCCCAGCTCTTTCAATCATTCTTCATAAGATTTTATTCTCCAGCCCCCTCACCAGCTTCGTTGCCCTCCTCTGCCCTCGCTCCAGCACCTCCAGATCTCTCTTGGATTGAGGTGCCCAAAACTGGACACAACACTCGAGCTGTGGCCTCCCCAGTGCTGAGCACAGGGGCACAATCACCTCCCTACTTCTGCTGCTCACACTATTTTTGATACAAGCCAGGATGCCGTTGGCTTTCTTGCCCCCCTGGGCACACTGTGGCTCATATTCAGTCGTTTGGCAACTAGAACCCCCAGTTCTGGCAACTTTCCTCCAGGCAGCTCCAGCCACACTTCCCCCAGCCTGTAGCGCTGCAGGGGGTTGGTGTGGCCCAAGTGCAGGACCCTGCACTTGCCCTTGTTGAAACTCATTAGCCCAGGGATCCAATCTATCTAGATCCCTCCGTAGGGCTTCCCTCTCCTCCTGGGAGTCACCACTCCTGTTTAACTTGGTGTCATCTGCCAACTTGCTGATGTTCCACCTTATGTCCTTATCGAGATCATCAATAAAGACGTTCAACAGAAATGGTCCCAACACTGAGCCTTGAGGCACACCGCTTGTGACTGGCCACCAGCTGGACGTACATCCATTTACATACATTTCCACCAGCACATCACATCGTAGCTCCAAGCAGGAGACACCAAACCTGGTGAACCAGCTGGTCTGAGGGGCTCACACCTACCTAGAAGGTACTGCCAGTAGAACTTGCAGATCTCCCGTAGGTTCTTGAAGATCAGTTGAAGCAGGTAGAGGGAAAAGGACCAGCCTCCTACCAGCAGGAAGTAAACAGGGCTTTTCTAGGAGAGGAGATGGGACACTGAAGACAGGCAGTGAGTGGGCAGCCATGGCTGCCTCCCTGCAGCTGCTGAGCTTTGCTCCACACAAAGCCAGACCCACAACCCGGCACCTCAAGGCCACGTGCTCCAGCAGCCTCACCAGAACGACCTCCAGGTGGAGAAAGGGCTATTGCTGCGAGGTCTCTGGCCCCCCCAGGCAGCCCGACCCTCACCTTGGGCATGACCTTGGACATCATGTAGACGAGGATGAGGAGCGAGGCCAGCAAACCAAAACTAATCCCAGCTGAATAGTAGAAGAGTTGGCTCCTGCAGAGATCACACACGTGCACAAAGTGTTTTACAGCTCACGGATGCCCGTGCACAAACACACAGCCCCCTGAGAGCCCGCAGAGCCAACCACGTGCCCACCCAACCCTCCTTGTCCCCACCTCACGGGGGAACGGAGGTGACCCACCTGCTCAGCATGTCTCCACAGAAGAACAACAACAGGCCCAGGAAGAAAACCAGGAACAACTTTGGGTCAAAGCCTGGAACGAGAGCGAGTGTGGGGTGAGGGAAGCCTGGCAGGGGTGCCCTCCAGCCTGCCCTGTGGCCACAGGGGCAGGGAAGGGGCAGTGTCCCGGGTGACCCTCCTAAATTCCCCCCGAATCATAGAATCATTGAGGTTGGAAGAGACCCTTGGGATCATCGAGTCCAACCATCTCCCCTCCTCTACAAAGTCCTCCCCTACACCATGTCCCTCAGCACTGCATCTAAACGGCCCTTCAACACAGCCAGGGATGGGGACTCCACCCCCTCCCTGGGCAGCCTCTTCCAACGCCCAACCACTCTTTGGGTGAAAAATTCCTTCCTAATGTTCAATCTAAACCTCCCCTGTTGGAGCTTGAAGCCGTTCCCTCTCGTTCTGTCACTAATTACTGTGAGAAGAGACCAGCACCAACCTCTCTCCAGTGTCCTTTCAAGGAGTTGTAGAGAGTGATGAGGTCTCCCCTCAGCCTCCTCTTCCTCACACTAAACAGTCCCAGCTCTTTCAATCACTCTTCATAAGATTTTATTCTCCAGCCCCCTCACCAGCTTCGTTGCCCTCCTCTGCCCTCGCTCCAGCACCTCCAGATCTCTCTTGGATTGAGGTGCCCAAAACTGGACACAACACTCGAGCTGTGGCCTCCCCAGTGCTGAGCACAGGGGCACAATCACCTCCCTCCTTCTGCTGCTCACACTATTTTTGATACAAGCCAGGATGCCATTGGCTTTCTTGCCCCCCTGGGCACACGCCGGCTCATATTCAGCCGTTTGACAACTCGAACCCCCAGGTCTCTTTCCTCCAGGCAGCTCCAGCCACACTTCCCCCAGCCTGTAGCGCTGCAGGGGGTTGGTGTGGCCCAAGTGCAGGACCTGGCACTTGCCCTTGTTGAAACTCATTCCGTTGATCTTGGCCCAGTGATCCAATCTATCTAGGTCCCTCTGTAGGGCTTCCCTCTCCTCCTGGGAGGATATCCCATGGACGAAGAGATGCTTCCCTCTGCAGGTCCATTTTCCTTCCCAAGGAGGGATCAACCCCACTGGCCCTCAGACCATGAGCTGGCCTGGCCATGATGTCCTCGTTACCCCCTGGAGAGCACGAGCAGAGCCAGCCCCACTTTTCCCCCCCCCCAGGAGCCCCCCGCCGCGGAGGAGCCGTACGTCGGAAGAGGACGACGCAGTACGTGGTGCCGGCCTCCAGCACGTCCACCTTCAGGCAGGTTTTGTTGCTGTAGAGATCGACGTCGATGCTGGTGTCGTTCAGCTTCTCCTTCAGAAAGGAGAGGAGGACGTTCCACACGTTGAACTTCTCCAGCTCCTCCTCGCTGTCCACCTGCGTGACTCGGATCATCCGGCTGCTGTTGACCCGGATCTGTGCAGGGTGAGGAGGAGAAGGAAGCAAACAGGGACATGGCTGCAGCTTCTGGGGGGGTTCAACCCAGCCAGACCCAGGAGAACCAACCTCTCTTCTCACCTGCATCCTGGTCCATATGTCGTGCCATTGCGGGAGGCGCGTGTTGGTGTAACAGAAGTGGTGAGGGGTCTCCAGGTGGTACACGTGGCCCTCGTAGAGCGGGAGGACCAGCTCCCTGCCCTCTGTGTGACACAGAGTAGAAGGATTCAGGGCCCCACTCCCCTCTGCTTCACCCACCAGAAGACACGGGGCCACCTTTTTTTTTTTATAGAATTGCCCAGGCCGGAAGGGACCTCCAAAGGGCATCTCGTCCCACCCCCCCGCAGTCAGCAGGGACACCCCCAACTAGACCAGGTTGCCCCATCGAGCCTCCCCTTGAATATCTCCAGGGAAGGGGCCTCAACCACCTCCCTGGGCAACCTGTCCCAGTGCTCCACCACCCTCCCAGTGAAGAACCCTCTCCTCATCTCCAGTCTCAATCTGTTCCCCTCCAGCTTGAAGCCATTGCCCCTCGTCCTGTCACTGCAGCCCTTTCTAAACAGGTTCTCCCCAGCCTTCCTGTAGCCCCCCCTCAGGTACTGGAAGGCTGCTCTTAGGTCTCCCCGGAGCCTCCTCTTCTCCAGGCTGAACAACCCCAGCTCCCTCAGCCTGTCCTCGGAGCAGAGGTGCTCCATCCCCCTCATCATCCTCGTGGCCCTCCTCTGGACCTCCTCTAGGTTGGAAGGGACCTTAAAGATCATCTTGTCCAACCATCAACCTCACTGACAAAAATAGACACCCCCACAACAAACAAGGAGCATCATCACTAAACCAGACCTCCCAGCACCACATCAACCCGGCTTTTGAACACCTCCAGGGATGGGGCCTCAACCCCCTCCCTGGGCAGCCCATTCCAAGGGCTGAGAACCCTTTCAGGGAAAAAATTGTTCCTAATATCCAGCCTGAACCTCCCCTGGCGCAACTTGAGGCCATTTCCTCTCGTCCTGTCGCCTGGGACTTGAGAAAAGAGACCGACCCCCACCTCTCTACCCCCTCCTTTCAGGGAGTTGGAGAGAGCAAGAAGGTCTCCCCTCAGCCTCCTCTTCTCCAGGCTGAACACCCCCAGCTCCCTCAGCCTCTCCTCATCAGACTTATTCTCCAGACCCCTCACCAGCTTTGTCGCCCTTCTCTGGACCCGCTCCAGCCCCTCAATGTCTTTTTTATGGTAGGGGGCCCAAAACTGGACACAGTACTCAAGGTGAGGCCTCACCAGTGCCCAGTACAGGGGGACAATCACCTCTTGGGACCTACTCCCCACGCTGTTCCTGATACAGGCCAGGATGCTGGTGGCTTTTTTGGCCACCTGGGCACACTGCTGGCTCATCTTCAGCCCACAGGCCACCAACCCCCCCAGGTCCTTTTCCATGGGGCAGCTCCATCCCCTCTGCCCCCAGCCTGGAGTGTCCATGGGGTTGGTGTGACCCAAGTGCAGGACCCTGCACTTGGCCTTGTTGAACCTCATCCCGTTGCTCTCGCCCTGTCGAGATCTCAGCCAACACTAAACTCGCGGGGGCCTCCTGCACGATCCCCCCCCCCCCCCCCCCCAGCGGAGCCCCCGGAGGGCCCAGCCCCACGGTAGATCGGGACCGGGAGGGGCCCGAAGCCCACTCCCCCCAGCACCCTCTGCCGCAGCGCTCTGCGAAAGGGGGGGGGACGGTGCTCGGGGGTCTCCCCCGGGGCTGCGGCGGGCGCTGAGCCGGGAGCGGGGGCTACCGGCGGGGAAACGCCGCCACCGGGAGGGGAACGGGCGGGATCCCGCGGCTGTGCGGGGCAGGGGGTCCCCCGGAGGGCACCCAGCAGCTCCCCCACAACCACCCCCTGCCCCCCAACGGCACTCGAGGCCCTGCCCCGACCGGGACCGGCCCCCACCGGAGACGCCGCCGCCCCGAGCCCCACCGGGCCGTCGCCGTCGCTTCTACCCCGCTCTCCACCCGCTGCCGTCGCCGCCCCACGCACCTGCGCCCCCCAGCGGCGTCGGCAGGAGCAGCAGCACCAACGTCCCCAGGAACCGCCGTCGCCCCGGAGCCGGTTTCATCCCTCCCGCCGCGGCGGCGCCGCCGACTTCCGCTTCCGCCGCCCGCTGACAACGGCCGCCGAGGGGCAGGCGGCAGCCAACGAGAGCGGGGCTCTCCCGTGACGTCATCACCGAGTGACGCCTGAGCCGACCTATCGGAAGGCCGCTCCGCCTTCGCTCGCATCCTCCCCAGCCTTCCGCGCTGACTGACAGGCCCTATAACCTATCAACGGAGCCCAAGCAGGAACCAGCCATGGTCCCGCCCTTAGTTACGACGGTGACCAATCCAGAGGCACGCCCATCCCTTAGCAACCGCGAGCCCCGCCTTAGTAACGGCTCTGACAGGCACTCCCCTCAGCCTATCAGAGCACAGGCCCGGCGCGCCACGCCCACCCCCTCGAATTCCCCATGATGGACAACCGCCCCCGCCTATCAGAACGCGTCCCCGCGGTGTTTGTGGGCGGGGCCACGCGTGGGGGGGAAGACGGGAGCCACGCGTGGGGGGAAGGCGGGGCCCGCCCCCCACCGACCCGGGGCTCGGCCGTGGGCCCGGGCCGGGGCGCCTTTCTCCGGCAGCGGCGGGGAGCGGGACAGCCCGGAGGGTCCCGTGGGGCGCGGGCGACCCCGTGGAGCGGGGGATTCCCGCACCCCACGGGCGGTTCGGCGGGGTCGGGGAGGGGGCTCCGTTCCCTCCCCGGTACATCCCGAGCCCCTTCCCCCGCCCCGTGGGGCGCCAGGACGCCGTGTCCGCGGCCGTCCGTGGGCGGGGAGCGGGCTCGGGCGGCCCCCCCGCCTCCCCTCCTCTCCCCTCCCGGGCCGTGGGCGGCGGAGCCGGGAAGCGGCGGGGCCGTGGGCGGAGGATGTG